CATGACAGTGTGACTGTTGTCCCTGGGCCCTGAGCACTGGTACTGGAGCTGATGATGCTCTGTTAATCATCCTGGACCATGGTTTGCAGTTGGTGCAAACTCTCGTTCATCACACCAACTTCTTAACTGTTTGATGGCATTTCCTTAGACATTCAGCTACTCCCTTATTCTGCCTCCCAGTTCACTTTGTCATTAAACACTTTCTTACAGGTTAGAGAGTATTTGTAATCAGTGTCAGTGTTTTGCGTAATGCAGCTCCCACCTCTAAATTGTATACGTGTGTACATGGAAGCTGAGCAGCCTTATCAATGATCACAAAAACAACCACAATCACAACTTGTAGCTAACATTTATTGAGTACTTCATGCCAGACACTCTCCTCAGCCTTTCTCTCGATTATCTCATTTCATCCTCGTCATGGGGTACCGTTGAGGCCCGTGGACTTGAAGAGCCTGTTGTGGGCCACACAGCCGTGTGTTAGGCCAGGCCAGTTGGACCTGCCAGCCCTGCTCCTGTTCTTTACTACACGAACTCCAAGGAGCCTATGAGGAGCTAGGGAGGGCTTCGTCGAGGGTGCTTGTCAGAAAGCTGCCTAACCCCTTCATTTCAGAAAGTGGCCTCCTTCTGTCACCACGGTTGGGCCATAAACAGTAACGGCAGATGTGCTTTTTGCACTCTGCTCCTGGAGACTGTTCCTCGGTCTGCGGACTGCAGTGTCGCCTGCTTCCCACAGATTGCACTCTTGGGTTTGTTTCTGCCTTTTGAGTGAGACATTCAAGCCAGAGCCTGTCTTCATCTGCCTCTCCCCTCTCCTTGCCAGGACCGTTCCACAGACACGTATTTGCCTTTCTAAGATTGGTTACCCCCGCGCCACTGAGCTGTATAAGAATGATGTGTGCGCAGTCTCTGGCCCCTCTAAACTCACAAAGGAGAGAGAAAATCAAGATCATCAGCCACCCAAGGCTGATTCACCAAGTCCCACACCAGCTCTTCTGCACTTCTCTGTTGAGTTTGATAAGTCATGACACTGGCCATACAGGGAATACTCGTGATTATGGGATTTATTAGAGACATAACAGGTTATTACAGACGTTTCGGGATCAGAAACAAGTTGGGATACAGTTCTTTGGTCAGGGCAGTCTTTTCTCAGCCATGCCCCAGGCCCTCGCAGGCCTCTTGACCCCTGGGCCTCTGCTCCGTCAAGTGCCGCAAAGCTCTTTTAGCTTTGCCAATAAGTGGCCAGAGCCACCTCGCTCTGCCAGTAAACCTTGGCACTCAGCTTTATTGCTCTGTAAGCCAGGAAGCCCTCTGCTCTGTCTCCTGCCGGTTCTGCTGCCCCTGCTGCTCCTGTTTCTCTGCCCCCACCCCTCTCCGCCTCTCACTCTCTCTAGTGTCACAGCTCCCTGCCTCCTGAATCGAGAAGGTTCCGTGCAGAGATACATGTCCCAAAGACACGCTTTACTCTTAGCATTTCTTTCTTGATGGTAGTGAGCCCCCCCTCCCCCTTCTGCTTTTGGGATAGTTCACTTGAAACCAACAGATGGCACAACTGACCAGTCCCACCTCTCTCTCTGACTCACTGCCAGCAAGTCCATTCTGACTCATCGCCGCCCTCGAGGCCAGGGTCGAACGGCCCCTGTCGTCGTCTCTCTCTGGAAGTAGAGCGCCTGGTCTCTCTCCCCTGGGAAAATAGAAGGGCCATGTGAAGTCACTGACTGCACTGCACGCTGTGATGCACAGAGCCTAACATTCAGCCACTTAAAGCGACAGTCCAGTGGCCTTTAGTGTATTCACAAGGTTGTCCAACCCTCACTACTTTCTGAGAACATGGTCATCACTCTGAAAAGAAACCACTTCCTTTTAGGTATGGGCTTGTCTACTCTGGTCATTTCATGTAAATGGAATCATAGATTCTGTAGCCTGCTGTGATTTTCTCCTTTCACATAGCATACTGTTTTCCAGTGGGATCCTTGTTAACACCGTGTATTATGGTTGAAAAAATAATCTGTTGTCTAGCTATCACACTTTGTTCATTCATCCACTGTATACACAGGATGTGTATCACAGGATACATTGTGTCCTCCAAATAGATCCTAACCACTATGCCTGTGGTTATCATTCTATTTGGGAAGGAGGTGCTTTGTTGCATTAACGAGGCAGATTTACTGTAGAGTGTGTCTTGACTCAGTTTCTTCTTAAAATATAAGAGAGATTAAATAAGTTCACAGAATAGAGATGGGGAAGAGGGGAACCAAGCCACATGAAGATCACAGACCCTCCAAAGAGTCAAGGAACTTCTAGAGCCAGCAGAAAGAAAGCCTCCCCCTAGGGCCGGCACCCTGGCTTCAGATTTCTAGCCTTCTAAACTGTGCGACAATAAATTTCTGTTTGGTAAAACAACCTACTTAGGGGGTTTCTGTTAGGACAGCATGGGATAAGTAAGACAGGTTGTTTCCACTTTCCACCTATTAGCAATAATTCTGCTATGACCACTCATGAACAAGTGTTTGTGTGGACTTCCGTTTTTATTCTCTTGAGTATAAAGTAGGAGTAGAATTGCTAGATCATACGGTCACCATGTCTAACTCTTTGAGGAACTGCCCAACACCTTTCCCTGGGTCCACACCATTTTACTTGACCACCAGCACGGTGAGAGGGTTCTGATGCCCCCACACCCTGTGATCCATTTTGAGGTAATTTTTTATATGGTGTAAGATAGGGGCAAGGGATTGGGTGTCAACAGTGGGTTGTTATGCATTGGGCTGCGAACTGCAAGGTCAGCAGTTCAAACCCACTAAGCCACTCCAAGGGAAAAAGATGGAGGCTTTCTGGTCCCATAGAGATTGATAGCCTCAGAGACCCCTAGAGCGAGTTCTGCGTTGTCTTGCCGGGTTGCTGTGGAGTTTCTTTTTATTTGTTTAGGGCAGGGGTCCAAGTTTATTCTTTTGCATGTGGAAACTCAGGTACCCCAGCACCATCTGTTGGGAAGACTGTTCTTTCCCTATTAAAGTGTCTTTGCCCCTGTTTTTAGTTATCTAGCGATACTATAATAGATGTCACCGTAAATGGCTTTAACAAATAGAAACTTATTCTTTGACAGAGGCTAGATGCAGAGCAGCAGCTCTGGGAGAAGTCTTTCCGTCAGCTCTGGAGGAAGGTCCTTGTTACCTTTAGACATTTGTGGGCCACCATTCCCTGGCAATCTCTGTGTGTCTTCACCTCAGTCTTCCTGTGGGTCTAAGAGGTTCTCGGCACAGGGCACCTCGAGTCCAAAGGACATGCTCCATTCCTGACTGTTCATTCTTGGTGGTAGTCAAGTCCCCCCTTTTCTGCTTGGCTCTCTCTCTTTTTAGCTCTTGCAAAATGAAAGATGGTGCAGGTCACACCCCAGGGAAACTCAGGACCTGAGGAAGGGTTTTGTATCCCATAGAGCTAATTAGCTGATGACATCAGATTACATCATGACATAACTGCCAAACCACTGAGACTCATGGCCCAGCCAAGACACATTTCAGTCCACGACAGCACCCATGTTGGAGCACCGATGCTCACAGATGGATGGGCTGCTCAGCTATTCTCGAAAGTACTGTCTGGAAAGGCTGTTTGGGATTTGCTGGTGTGGGTGAGAGCAGAGCACAGTGAGTTCTAAAACCCTTGTTTCGTCCTCCCAAGCTAAGGAGAGCTGTCCATGTAGCTAGTGGGCCCAGCCTAAGCCAATGTGTGCAGTCCTTTGGGCTCCAACCGCTTTGATGCTATGTGACCCTACCTTTGTGAATGGCCTACTCACCTGATCTCAAGAAAGAGATTGCAGCTGGGTTTATTCAGAAATGCAACTTGAATTCTCAGAAGAGGGAGCAGAGGAGTCACTAACCAGTGTACATTCCAGAAGGCCAGGAAGGTGTGTGTACACAAGGGCAATAAGAATGGCTCCTTGTCACCCCCCAGAAGTGCTGCCGACGGGGAGGAAGGGCTAGCCCTGGGACAAGTTAGCAGGTACAGACCCCAAGTATCCGTGCACACACCCTCCCACACCTTGTGTCCACTCATCTCAGCAGGATTTTCTGAGAACACCGAGGCTTCATCAGCTCCACACCTAGTTCTGCCCTCAGGTGGACTCGTCCATGCACCCCTACACCCCCCACCATGTTCCAGATACTGGTCCAGGAAGTAAATGAGCCGCCCACTTAGAAGACCTATGTGGCCCTCACTTCACCTAGGTCCGCGCCGCAGGGACTTGGTGCTGGCTGCTGTGTCGTTGAGGAGCCCAGCTCAAAAAACACGTCAATGTTTTTGACTTAACACATTGTGCCAATAGCAACTTTCACCTTCCTTGCTTTCACTGCTGCAAATTGGTCTGCCATGTGCTCACAGTCTTTTCTTTTTTGGTCCAGTTTCTCACTGCCATCAGTGTAGAACTGCCCTTGTGGGTTTCCGAGGCTGTAAATCTGTATTGGAGCAGAAAGCCTCATCTTTCCCCGACAGAGCTGCTAACAGGTTCGAACTGCTGACCTTGCCCTTAGCAGCCGGCTACTCCCTCAGGGCTCCTGGAGGCTCTCAAATACACAAGTCTGAGTTTTAACGGGCGGGCAAGGGAAACTGCAAGACCTGAGATAGGCCTCTGGCTGAGACACTCCTGTTCATGGAGTCCTTCTTGTTCTGCTCTGCCACAGACGCTAGGTGGCCTAGGGGGGTGGGGGATGGAGGGGAAACAGTTGCCCACACAGCCATTTATTTGGCTGAGCAAACGCGCCAAGTCCGTGGCTAGACTGTCCAGAAGGTCAGAGACTTGCGGGTGATAGCCACAGTGGCAGGTTCCTCCGGAGCCATCAGTTCCTCCTCCTCTGCCCTGTGCCCACGCAGCCTGCCTGCATCCTGGGCAGGAGAGAAGGGCCTTTTGAGACATCAGCAAGCAGCCGCTCTCCATTCCCCCCACTGCCCAGCAGCCTTGGCCACCCCCGCCAACAACCAGTCACACAGGTTCTTTGTTTAAACACTTCTAGGGTGTTGTCGGAATTCAGCAAAGCCCAGGCAAACTCTGTGCCAACCAGCACACTGATCCGAGAGACGGAGACTCCGGCACACCAGGCGCCTCTCACGCTTCACAGCCTCGGCTCCAGCACCCCTCTCCTGCGCTTCGATGTGCCTGCAGGGCCACCCCCTGCCCAAGCCTCCTCTCCAACTCCAGATGGGGACCACAAGCAGGAGCCATGTTCACAGGGACCTGGCCCGGTCCCTTCCGGTGGCACCTCGGCTCAGATGGCGTCCAGTCCTGTGGGAGAGAAGGCCGGAGCAGCTCCCCTAGGAAGTGGCCCAGAGAAGCCCCTAGGGGGTGACCGAGTTGGGCTAAACCTTGTGGTCTCCTCGCCCACCAGTCCGGTGAGTGGTACACCTGTATGAGGGGTGAGGATGGGGTGGGGGCTGGGGGTCCTGACATACCTTAGAGCTGATGTGGGACTCTCCTAGCTAATGACCCCAGTGTTCTCTGTCTCCTTCCCACTGCCCTCCCTCTCCCTGCATGGTGACGG